CTGGGAAGAGAGGATCATGTGCAAATACCACATATATGTTCCAGGAATTTCCAGGATTTCATCAACATCAAAACCATATCAAATTACGCATTTTGATGTGAATACGCTTTCGAACGGTTTTTTTTAGGGCGCCCCAAGAATTGTCGGGGCACCATGCCAATAACGTAGTTATTTGCTTTTGCCCTGTTTATTTGTTGGATCTAGGAGATCCAGGTAGTAACAGGGCTAGTTTTTTTACACAGACTATGTCACTATTTTAGATTCCTGGTGAAATATCACTGGATTTTTTTAGGGAGTTATAGTTATACTCATGTTATACTAATAATTATACACATTTATACACTATCCAGCTATATGAGCGATGATAACCATGAACTAGGAACCCGGACCAGCCAGTTTTTGATGATTCCACTGTGAGTCCAATATCATAGCAGGATTCGGCAGAAATCGAGCTCCTGTAAACCAAGCGAGCTGGAAAATGACCCAGTTATGGATGAGATACTCTGAGATACCTATCAAAAATATGGCGATTTCAGCGAAGTGTTAGTTTATCAGAGGGTACCACAAATAGAAACACATGAAAAAAGGCATAAGCCAGCATCAGATCATCCCTTGGTTTTTCCATTCAAATCTTGATCATCTTGGCCTCATTTCAGTATCACTTCACCATCTTCACCTCCGACCATCGACGCCAGGAGAGCTTCAAGAGGCTTTCTGAGGCATGCCAGCTGTGGCAGCAACTGACACTTTTGGGTTGACCGCAATGGATTTTTCAAGCTTTGCAATTTGGGAGTCGTCCGTAGGACAGATTGGTGCTTTGGAACATGGCTGGATTATGACTTTCGCATCATATTGGGAATGTCATCATCCCAACTGACTTTAACTCCATCATTTTTCAGAGGGGTTGGTCAACCACAAACCAGAGGATATTGTGGTCCTACTTGCATGTCCAGGTGGAGTTTTAGGGAGGCCACAAACGATCATGCCGAATCATGCCTATGTTGCCACAAAGTCATGCATGACATGCTTACTCAGCAAGCAACCAACCGGACTTGAGCGGCATGCAATTTACCTTGCAACTATGGGCTCGAAAATGCCATGAAATCGGTACTCTAAAATACTCTGCATGACAACCTAAAGATGCAACATGTTTTTTTTTGGATCAAGAGGCAGATGGCATGGCTCACCACCATCACCACCACCACCGCCGCCGCCGCCACCGCCCCCCCCCCCCCCCCCGCCGCGTTGGATGTGCAAGGCGCATGATCTGCTGGCAGATCCGGAGCGCAGGGAGCTCTACGATCGATTTGGGATCCAGGCAATGCCAACATCAACGGCGAATTGGTGAGATGTGCGGTTGGATTATGACCCATCCACCATGTGAATCTTAAGCATTGAACATGGATATCTGGCAGTGTAAGCGCAACAGACAGAAAGTAATTTGGGATTTATATATATACATATATATATTGATTTATTTCATTGAGCATAGAATATGGAAATGATGCGTGTTAAAAGGGGATGTGGATCAAACTTGGATAGCCCCAACATGCCAAACTGGGATAGTGAATACTAAACATGACCAATGTGAATGGTTCCCAGGGCCAAAAGTCGTCCTGGACATTCAGTTTCAGGGGTCACCTTCACACTTTTTGGCCTTGCCGAACATCAGTAAGGGTTAACGCTATCATCTGAGTATGACAACTTTTGGTCGGTGGTTTGGAACATGGCTTATATTTTTCCATATATTGGGAATGTCATCATCCCAACTGACGAACTCATATTTTTCAGAGGGGTAGGTTGGTCAACCACCAACCAGACTTGATATGGTAGAAATGACACAAGAACTGATTCAAACACCTGGGATGTTACAATGTTCGAGTATTTCCGCAGTATTTCCACAGTATTTTGGTCCGAATTTTCGGGACTTTTCTGGTTTCCAGAGAACGGGTCGACTTGGTCGGGAGTTGACCGGCAGGATCCCAATGTCCTTTCACAGGATCAGTGGGACTTTGGAGAGGCTGGAGAGGTTTCGTCCCCAAGGTGTCCCATCTAAGAAACACATACGTATTTTGGGTACAACAGAAATCCTTTTGCAGTGAATGTTTGCCACCCAAAACTTTGAAACCTACATGTTGCCAGGGTTTCCTGTCGAGACCTTACCTTAACAAACAGTTCGATGCGGAAAACCCTCCATGAGAGTAGATTATTTCCCGAACGGGAAACCGTGGGTTTCCATATCTGTGTTAGTTTACCCCAGGGTATGATCATTATCTTCTGGTTGCTGCAATAATGATTCGCAACATGTGCTGATCGAAGCTACAGTCCGAAGAGGTCGCGATCGAATTTCGGTATGCATTGATCATCTCCGCATTTTTGCTATGGCCGTGTCCAGTGTCCAATACCACAGGGTCTACCCTCTGGTAAACTAACATAACTATGGAAAATCACCATTTTTCATGGGAAAATCCACTATAAATGGTGATTTTCCATAGTTATGTTTTTGATCTACTCCCCGCCCAGTAACAGCAGATAAATGATTTTCCTTTAACCTACCCTTTCAAAACGAGCACAAGGAAATTGCTCCAAAAATCTCGGCTAGGAGGTGCCCAAAAAAAAAACGTCAACCTGCCCTCCAAACCTCTGATACAGAATTCAGAATTCAAGACAGGGGCTTCACTTTCAAGATCTTTCAAGCATATCAGTTGCATTCCAACATTGAGAAAAGAAGAGCGCAGACTACAGACAATACATTCATGTGTTACCCTGAGAAGGTGCGAGCAAGGCGTCTGCATCGAAGCAAGGACTGTGACTAGAACATATTGTGAAAGGATTTGGCCGCTTGATGCAACTGGCACAATGCACCGTAATGTGCTCAACCATGGAGTCAGATTGGCCATGTGGGAAAATGGAAATGTTATATACTTATCCTAAACTTTAAATTCTAAACCCCGAGCCCATTCGAACCCTAAATCGCAAAACTTCATTGACGCGTAAGTACCAACCGCCAAAACCAGCACAAGCTAGACACAAAAAGAGCACAAAAAAACACAAAGAAAAACATTAAAAAACACAAAAAAAAGCAAACAAAAACACAAAAAAAAACAAAAAAAAAACAAAAAAGCACAAAAAAAAGCACAAAAAAAAGCACAAAAAAAAGCACAAAAAAAGCACAAGGAGACTGCAAAAATAATTGCGAAAAAAATGAAAAAATTAGCCCGGGCAAGGAAAGGTCCAAAGGGACGACAAAACGAGCACCAGGGGGACCACAAGAAAAGCACCAATTTGAGCACCAGCCGAGCACAATTTGAGCACCAGCCGAGCACAATTCGAGCACCAGCCGAGCACAATTTGAGCACCAGCCGAGCACAATTTAAGCACCAGCCGAGCACAATTTGAGCACCAGCGGAGCACAATTTGAGCACCAGCTGAGCACAATTTGAGCACCAGCCAAGCACAATTTGAGCATCAGCCGAGCACAATTTGAGCACCAGCCGGGCACAATTTGAGCACCAGCCGGGCACAATTTGAGCACCAGCCGGGCGCAATTTGAGCACCAGCCGAGCACAATTTGAGCACCAGCCGAGCACAATTTGAGCACCAGCTGGGCACAATTTGAGCACCAGCCGTGCACAATTTGAGCACCAGCCGAGCACAATTTGAGCACCAGCCGAGCACAATTTGAGCACCACGCCGGGCACAATTTGGCACCGGAACCTGGTGCAAAGCAAGAAATGCACAAAAATCAATGCAAAGCAGCTGAGGGACCACACAGGAAAAGGCACAATTTGAGCACCAGCGGAGCACAATTTCAGCACCAGCCGAGCACAATTTGAGCACCAGCCGAGCACAATTTGAGCACCAGCCGAGCACAATTCGAGCACCAGCCGAGCACAATTTGAGCACCAGCCGAGCATAATTTGAGCACCAGCCGGACGCAATTTGAGCACCAGCCGAGCAACAATTTGAGCACCAGCCGAGCACAATTTGAGCACCAGCCGAGCACAATTTGAGCACCAGCCGAGCACAATTTGAGCACCAGCCGAGCACAATTTGAGCACCAGCCGAGCACAATTTGAGCACCAGCCGAGCACAATTTGAGCACCAGCCGGGCACAATTTGAGCACCAGCCGAGCACAATTTGAGCACCAGCCGAGCACAATTTGAGCACCAGCCGAGCACAATTTGAGCACCAGCCGAGCACAATTTGAGCACCAGCCGAGCACAATTTGAGCACCAGCCGAGCACAATTTGAGCACCAGCCGAGCACAATTTGAGCGGCAGCCGAGCACAAAAAACCGAAAACAGGAAAACCAAAAAAGTCAACTGCGCCAGCCCCAGCCCCAGCCCCAGCGCCAGGCCCAGTCGCAGCCCCAGCGCCCCCAGGCCCAACCCAACCACCCCAGCCCCCAGCACCCCAGCCAAGCCCAGCCCCAGGCCCAGCCCCAACCCCCCACCCTTACGTTTGGTGGTGGTGGTTGTTGTGGTGGTGGTGGTGGTGCTGCTGCTGCTGCCGCTGCTGGTACTGCTGGTTGTGGTGGTCGTGGTGGTGCTGTCGCTGGTGGGGGGCGGTTGTTGTTATTGTTGCTAGTTGTCACATTGCTAAGGCTGTTGTAGTTACTAAGAATTGCTAAGGTTTCCAACGGAATGTTGGTGATAAGTTGCCCAGTTACTAGCAAATCTGTAGCAGCCAGAGCCGAGAAGAGAGAAACAGACACCTGTGCAGTTTGATTCCTTCCGATTCACATGAAACATTTTTTCAACCATTTGATGATTTACATATTCATGGTGTCTACCTGATCCTTTTTTTGGTTTTGGTATAAGAATTTATCTGTATCATATCACCAGATTAGACCCTTATTTTCTGCATTTGGCTGGTGCTCATTTTGTGCCCCTGGCTTGTGCTCACTGTTACTGCCCCGGGGGTAGATCAAAGTTATGTTAGTTTACCATAGGGTCTACCCCCAAAATGGTCGAGATTTTCCTGGACGTTGCAGGGCATGGGAGGTCACCCCGATTTTGCGGAGTTCGAGGCGCGGTCATGGCTTGTGGTTAAGGTAGGGGAAAAGGGGGCAATACCATGAGTTTAAACCAGGTTTGGTTCAAGGAGTTTATTAAACAAAAATTCTTGGTTTAGATAGAAGTTGAGATTCTATCTTGGTTTTACGAGCTGAAGCTAACATTTTGACTGGAAACCATGGAATTTTTGCCCATAGGCACATTTTCGGATTTGTTTTTGGGGCACTGAAATGAGGGAACAATGTACATGATGGTTACTATGGTTTCAATTTGACGGCGAATCGCATAAGGTACAATATTTGTGTAATTCGCATTTGTAAATTTGGTTACCCTGAAATTAAGAAGAGCTCATGTTACCTACCATAGTGGTCATTCAATGTCATTCACCACCATCATCCGGGAGTAAACAGTGTTACTGTATTTTTTGTCGGTATGTAAGAAGTAACAAGCTAGAATGAGTGGGACTTTTGACCAGATTCTCCAGATTCTCAGTGTCTTGGGAGGGACTTCGATGATTCTCCTTGGCAAAGAATTGGCTGTGCCCCAGTTGTCGTCCCCAACTTGGCAGGAAATCTTGAAGGAGTTCTTTCAGAACGGCAGAGGAGGGGGCGCAAAGAGATCATTTGGCTCGTGGCATGACATTGTAACAAGACACTCCGTACCCTCTGGTAAACTAACACAACTATGGAAATCACCATTTATAGTGGATTTTCCCATGAAAAATGGTGATTTTCCATAGTTATGTTAGTTTACCAGAGGGTAATTTCATTTTTTTTGTCACCCTCAACACAGTTGCTGGACAAGCCTTGAACCGGTATTCTGGGTCCTCACAGGACCACCCGCGGAACCAGAGAGGCTCGGAGTTCTCCAAAAGCAGAAACAACATGAAACAACCTCAAAATCCAGGAGAATTTGGGAGAAATTTGGAAGATTTCTATTGTTCCCAGTGTCAAATTTCGTTGCCACTTTTTGGTAAAACACAAACTTCAATTTCTTTCGGGTAAGTGCGGTTGTGACTCAACGCGCCGTCCTGTCAGGGACCTGCAAGACGTGTGGGAAGGCATCTTAGGCTTCACGTTGATCTCTCTGACCGCCTGTGGCGTTGCTTGCCACTGGGACTGAACTTTGAAGCACTAAGAAAGGTGGGGGGCATGAGATTTTCAGCTTTTGGGCCCTCTTCAAGCTCACCCGTTTTTCCCCGGTCCAACTCTACAGAATGCGTGGCGAAACTCCCCACTTTCCCAGGCCTCACCTGGCTGGCGCGGCGGCCGCCTTTGGCCGGTCTCCTCAGCTGGTGCTGGTGGAGGCTGCTGATCGCCAAGTTCAACCAAACATGGGATGTCAACGTGGAACAATTGGGGTGCAACATGGTGTAACCATTGAACAACTGGGATTTGACCAAGCATAATGCGGATTTTTGGGGCACAGTGGCACTGGAATTTCAAGTAACAGGTGGATTTGACATGCTTTCATGCCTGCAACATGGGGAGGACATGGAACCGCAGGTGGCGTTTCCTGCTCTTTGACATTGGTCTTGGCTAGGTGCGAAGATGGGTGCCAGTTTCCAGTGAATTTCATGTTATTGGGGGGGTGAACCCAAGTCAAATCAAGTAGGCCCACTGATTGGACATTTCGTCCGATTTCATCCCCTTACCACTTGAGAACGATGATTCCTACCTCTCCTCCGTCTGGTGCAGGGTACTGCACTGGACGTTGTCCATCGACCAGGTCCGCTGGACACAGTGCTTGTCCTTCGAAATGCTGCCGTGCTCGCGGCGATGGTTGGAAGAAATGAGAGATGGTAAGACAACCGTCCCAGCTCCAGAAATGTGTCTTCCATTGATTTCCATTGCTTGATTTGGGTCAATATCAATGATCACAATATTGAATAGTTGATGCTAGAATATGATATATAAGCATCCCAACAAAATCCATCTGTTTTCATCTGTTTCTGGGGTTTGAATTAATCAGGAGTGCATGGTTTTCACTCATATCCGGGAAAAAAAACAACATTTCTCGTATATAAGTGCACGCAACTGACTGGGGGTGTATAGTCGGGATTTTAGCAGGGATTGTAGCCCAAAACATCTTCGAACTTTTAACTAGTATGCGCGCATGGGTGGAGGGGAAGATATTTTTTCCTACTTTGGAGGGGATGTTTCGCCAAAGTGAACTGCTTGTTGGAGGGACAGAACCATGATTCCTTCAAGTTTTGAGTTGGGTCCGGCCAAAACAAGTTCAACAGAAAGAGAAGGATTGAGCAACTAAAATGTAGGGTGGCAATGAACAGTTGTATCCATAAAGACAGTTGATGAAATCCCTTTTTTTGCTTCCATTGTTGGGATTTTCATGGATTTTCGGTATGTGAAAATACCAAAGGGTAAGAAGTTGAATTTCTGTATGTCTAAGGAATAATGTCTTAATTATATTATTAGATATTAATGAATACATTGGATGTATAGACCAATTGGAGAGACATTGAATACTTCTCTCCTGTCTCTCCAATCTTGCCCCAAAGCTGGCAGTAGGCAGTCGAAGGGCCTACAGCTGACGTGACGCGTCATGTTTTCCAACGACTTTTCAAGGGAGGCTTGCGCAGTCAGTGCTTCCAAGAAGGTGGTAGGTGAACGTACTGTTATGTGGGTGTATGGGTCAAAATACACACACCATCACACACCCCAAAATTATGCAGGTGGCAATCCTTCAACATCTTTTCAGACATTGTGACATTCTCATCAGATGGTTTGTCCAAAACTACGGTAGGTTCCAAATTTTCAGATGTTTTTTATGCATGTCGTTCTCATTTTCTCAATGTGTTATTTTTCTCCGAGTATGCCCTATTTGCCAAGACACACCATATCTCCCAAGAATTCGTCACTAGGAGGTGATCCATGTCCTACCCCATGTGGAAAGCGTAGCCCCTGTGATCGGCTGAGTCCTGGACCGGGTGAGTCCTTCACTTGCGATCAGAGAAAAATATTTGTTTGGTTTGAAATGATGTACTGGTTGGTGGTTTGGAACATGGCTGGATTATGACTTTCCCATCATATTGGGAATGTCATCATCCCAACTGACTTTAACTCCATCATTTTTCAGAGGGGCAGGTATACCACTAACCAGATACTATATAGTTACTATACTATACCTTGGGGGGATGAACCCACCATTTACCAGCGATATGTTGGTGTTCACCAGGGGGAACTTAATGGAGCTTCTGATATCTCGATGGACTTTCCCCGACGTTTCGCCCGTTGGCCCAGGCTTGATCCAGTTGGCACCACCAAACACGAATGGCCGTGCCAGCAGCGAATCGCTGCGAGGTTTGGTGGTGAAATTCATCGCCTCTGAGATCTTTAGGGATGGTGCCAGAAAAGACCAGAAAAGGAGGAATTTCTGTGTTGTTGATGTGGGTACTAGTAACCTTTCCTAGCCATAGAAAGGATATGATCGAAGATAGGCATGCAGAAATGTGAGACCCAGACTTTGCCATTGAAGTGGTGCCAGTAGGGTAAACCAATGGCTTGACGTGGGCATGATCCCCAGGTAGCCTGGTTTTCAAAGCAAAATGGCTGGTTGTGGTGGATACCCACCCACCCATTCCCAAGGTGACAAGGTATCCCAAGGTACTGACCCATCCCCAGCAGATACTGTCCTTCTGGTTCAGCACCTGTCCCACTTACCTCGGTTTACCGAGCCGAGCTTCGCGGAAACAGTGGCGGTACCGGGAGGGTTGAGCCTAGATGGACATTGGGAAAACTGACCCCAGAAATTGATGAAGTCATACCATTGTGACCTCATGGCCTTGAAAAGCCTGTGAATGATGAAAAAATAGTGGGGTATCTTCAATAAAAAATCGGCCCCAAATCAGGTTTGGAATGTATCACTGTATCACGCTATAAGTTATCCAGATTGAACAGGATAGACGGGGTTTCCCTTGGTGCGCAGAAGATAGTGTAGCAGTAAGATCATACATGCATGGTATGGTTGCCTCATGTTGCCTCCATTTACTGGCAAAATCACCCAAAAAAATCAGGCAATAAGGGTACGGCTCCGAAATGTCGAGCCTCCAAAAATGGATCCCCAAACAATGGATGGATTATTGGATTTATTGGTAATTACATTATTTTATCATGAATCATTGAATATAATACGGTCATGTGGGTAAAACAATACTCAACCATCCCCTAAATCACATCAAATCACTAGAAATAGGTGGTATAAACCATTCCCAAATGGGTGGTTTATGGCATTGCTGGTTGGTGGTTTGGAACATTTTTTATTTTCCATAATGTATGGGATAATCCTTCCCATTGACTAATATTTTTCAGAGGGGTTGAAACTACCAACCAGTTTGTTTTACCCACATTACTCAAACTTGGCAACTTTGTGGGTTCATCTATACCCTGCATGGCTCGTAGCATACGCGGACAGGCGACATTGGGCCGCTCTACCGCCAGCTTGGGCAGGAGTCTTTTCGGGCGGGCCATCCGGGGGCTGTTCAAAGGGGCAGACCTGTGGGGGAAATCAAGGGTGTATGCATAAAATAACTAACTAACTAACTAACTAAATAAATAAATAAATAGATAGATAAATAACTATACATATATATATAGATAGATAGATAGATAGATAGACAGACAGACAGACAGACAGACAGATAGATAGATAGATAGATAGATAGATAGTATACATACACACATACTGTATATAATGCAGCCTAACATTCGATGAATTACCTTTGATGTGCTTGATAGTTACCTGATAGTTTGTAAAGTGGTTTACAGTGATTTGAGCTGTCTACACTGAATACACTGGATGGTTTATGATGAGGTTCATCCTGACAGCCGATCGGCCCGTAGAACTCTGGAACACTAGCTGAAATATGGGTCAAAAAGTCGCCCCAGGCCCAGAGAGTTTGATGTTTTTCTTGGCATTTTGATCTCATGTTTTGTTGGCCACACACCTTATGACCTTATGAGCAAACTGCTCGCATACTGAGCCAGCCATATTCCCACTGAGCTGCTGACCGGGAAGATTGCAGCACGGTCATTTGATTGCAAAGATACAATCTATTTCATCCCAAATCATCTGAATTGGATATATACAATTCCGCTAAACATATCTAAACATGGCATTTGGTCACTAAAAGATTTGCTCCAAGTGCGCAGTGACTTAGAACCGCCATCAAACAAAGCTGCGATGTGCCGCGCCAAATGTGGCGCATAACGAGCCTTTTGCTCAGCCAAGGGCAGCTGCAGCTTGGCGTTTCCAGTGGCGTTATGGGATCATCGTAGTCCATTTGGGCCATGCCATGCCATCTATAAATGGGATATTAATGGGATTTAATGGGAAATTAATGGGATTTTATAGTGATTCAATGGGATATTAATGGGATTTAATGGGAAATTAATGGGATTTTATAGTGATTCAATGGGATATTAATGGGATATACCCTCTGGTTATGACTAACATAGCCATGGTATAGATGCCCATAGAAATAGATGGTTTACCGAACTTAAAAATGGGTGGATCTTTCCATGGCAAGCTGTTAGTCATAACCAGGTGGTATCTGTAAATGCACCAATGAAGCAACAAGATCCCGGTTCTTTTTTCCACTTCAGTGTGCCATGGTCAAGTTAGTAACAGTTAGATGATCTACCGTGATATACCGTGACCCCATGAAAAGGTAGTCATCCTTCCATTTTCACAGGGATTAAGGTCCCCCTCCATTGGGATTGTCCCAGGGTGGGGAGCTGTTGGACAGATGGCTACTCTGCCGAGCTCTGCTGTGACACTCAGCGCCTCGATCAGCGCCATTTCGGAGGGGGGTTCATGGCGTGGTACACCCATTGAGCATCCCCAAAATCACCAATGGGTGGTATAAACCATGCCCAGTAGGCCCAGTAGGTTTATTGTGTTTGGTGTCGACGACTTTTCGCTGCAAAATAAACCAACTTCTGTTATCAAGACACATCAATTCCGCCAATGGACCCTTGGTCTACGCCAACCTGAATGAACAATGATGAACATGGCTTTGTCTCAACCTGAAGAATAGTCTATTTTCATCCATTTTCTGGCCCATCTGAGGACCTTTGGTCCAGGTGGTAACGCGGGCTGCTGGGATGGATCTGAGACTTGGCGTTGGTCCCTGTTGGTGAAGGATGAGGTGTGGAGCAACCCGCAAAAAGATCGGAAAAACCATGAGAAAACACTGCAATTCTGCAAGTCTTCGATATTTTAATAGGAACCTACTTAATTTACTCCTATCTTTCTGGGGTTACTTATGTTTACTTACTATGTGCTAAATCCGAAGCCATAAACCATCCCCAATTTTACCGGAAAGGGGTTGTAAATGACCATCCTTAATTTTAGGTTCATTTACGGCTCACCACTTTTCTAGGGAAATAGAACTGCAACACATGTTTTTTTTTTGAAATTCGGGTACGCCAAAATCCCGTTGTTCATCATCAATTTCCCCACTCAACAGCCATCATTTTCTCATTCAATAGCCCTAAACTGGGGGGTATCCTCATTTTAAGACACACCCAATGTGAATTCTTAGAGTCATTTAGATGGTCATGGCACGTCAATTTGGAGTTTTGGGTTCAGAGTCATTGGCTTTGCTGATCAGCAACTCCCAGTGGAATCTGCCAGTTCTTGATTTTGGTTTCCATGCCATGTGGGTTCTTAATCCTCTGATACCTCGGTCCCCACATCAGATGCAGTGCGCCATTTTTAGGGCTTCACCTACAAAGCGTGTTGCTGCGATGAGAGCCACGGCTGCTGGGTAGCGCCGCAGCTCTCGCAGGTGCATGGGACGGGGGCCCCACCTATGGGACCGGGTGATCTTCTCAGCAGGGTGCCAGGGTAAACTTACCCATTTCCCCAGAGACGCAGTATCATAGCTGGGGATGGAGATGCGTCCAACAACTGGTCAGAAGTGTCAGAAGTACGGACGGAACTCTGGATCAAGAAAATTGGTGTATATGAACGCATCCTAAAAATGTCGAACTGGTGGGAGAACTATGGATGGAGCCTCCTGGCGATTCAGTTTGAGTCATCAAAACCATGGTGCACACGTGGGCTGCAGATGGCTGCAGTAGGTTGTGGCAAGCCCCCTCCAAATCGATACGTTACAACCTAGGTGGTTTTGGTATCTTCGGTTGGTCGATGATGCCAACTACATGGTAAAAACTACATTCAACTACGGTATCCATCGTTACCATGAGATTGATCCATCAACTACAGGGGTAAACAATCAAGAACCTGGGGTTATCATTGATAAATGATGGTCAACTGATGATTTGTTCGCGACGCTACTACCCACACTTTTTTCATTTATACATTGGGATGTATTGGGGATTATCATAATCATTCGTAATCCAGATATTAGGAATCAGGGAATCACTGTTTTCACCAAGCGTTTAAATGACGCAGGCGGCACCATGGGGACATTGGGGAGAGCCTCCCCTTGGCAATCCAGTTGAAGAGCTGCTGGGCAAGCACTTTTCTCGGGACAAAGTGCTGCCCAAGTTGTTGAAAAAGGGAACTGAACTTACCCCAGTTTCTTTTTCCCAATCTTCAGATTTGTAAGTTTAGTTCTGCTAGGTATTTCAGTGCAGCACTGGTGGTTGATCTTTGAAGTCGCATCACAGCAATAATCTCAACCTCGGTTGGGCAGATGGTGGATCTAGCTGGTTGTGATAGCTGGTTGGAGTGTCAGGCGATTACATGATCCTCGCATGAATTTTGTGCGCAGGGGATCATGCTCAGTGTTTGCAACATATTTTCTCAACTTGGCGGTTGATGTATATAGTATGGCCCCGTATGGCATGTATGGCTCAAACTTGGCAGACCTCAGTGATCCTCAGTGGACTTACATCAAATCGCCATCCTAGTCACATTGTCGACCTCAGCAATCGAAGGTCTGTAGGCTCTTAGCTATTGGGTGGTTAGCTAAGGGAGCGGTTCGGAAGGACGGGCCTCCATATTCTTAACATCGGGGAGCCAAGGAACTACTGAGAATTTCCAACCACATGATTGATGGTTCGGTTACTGAATAATTCCATGATTTCCATTGCATCGCCATAGTTGTTGGTTTATTTCTCCATGCTGTTTGATTAAATCCATCCCAAGCCAGTTGTGGCATGAGACCGCAGCGACTCGGAGGCTTAGTGTGGGCCTCTTTCCGACCTACGAGCCTGGAAAGGATTGCTGGACAGGCGGCAAACGGACCCAAATCATTGATGGCCGGGAGATTTTTTTTTCTAAATTCCGAGCTGAGAAAAAATGGATCCTTGAGACCACCCTGAGTCCTTTCTCTTAGAATAGCTGGCCAGGCAGTGCCGCCACCTATGCCAAGTGTTGCGCCTTGGAAGTAAGTTATGACATGGTTTAGCCATGTTTTATGGGGCCCTTAAAGAGGCTAAAACTGAAGAGTTGCGAATCCTGGCTATTTCATCTTCAGTGACGTAGTCATCTTACAGCGTTGCGGCTTAGAAAATGGTCGAGGTGATGGGAAATGACCCACCATTGGGGAAATCATCTGTAATGATCCAGTGATGTTCAAAACCATCCATCCAACTTACCTACTGTGGATGGGGAATTGCGAAATCCTGCACCAGCAATTTTGGATGGTTGAAACATGTTGAAACCCTGTAAATAACGATATTTTTACCACCGTTGAAACAACTGGTGATTCGGATTTCGCTGGCCCATCCACAGCTGTGGATGATGGGACATTGCCACAGAATTCCTGAGGTGATTTGACCATGAATCCCATGGGAAACATCTGGAATTGCTGGGACAACAATCGCTTCACCTTCGAACGCTGCTGCTTCCTTGGGGAGGTGGCAAGACTCCCCCGGAATGGATGACTTGAAAGGGGTGAACAAAAACGGTTGTACCACCCTTTATCATCATCCATTATGGGAGTCCATATAGAGGTTTCCTGAAATAAGGGGTACCCCCAAATCATCAATTTTAGTGGGATTTTCCATTATAAACCAACCATTTTGGGAATCCTCTATTTATGGAACCCCCCATATTAATTAACTTATCAAACTGTTATCCTGCAATTCTACCTGTATGTTCGGATGATCCGAACATCCGAAAGAACGGCACGTCAATTTTCCAATCATGGCACCACGTATTCTCGCTTTGGTAGGTTTGGTGGTTTTCCCCAACATCATTCAAACTCATTGAATCTTAGTTTGTTGATAGATTTGATACTGGTTGAACCATGTTAAACACCATGTTGGTGGTTTTTCACCCATGTTGATCAACAGAGATTCAACCCAACAAACTATCAACAAACCCCCTTTTTGGTGGCTTGAACCATGTTACACCCACGTAAAATCCCCAGAACTTGGCGGCTTCCCCCCCATGGCTCCAGGCCGCGCTGGGCGAAGCTCCTCCCAAGCCGCTGCTGCGCCCCGCGCTGCGCGCGCAAGCGACGCGGGCGGCGCCGGAGGAACTGCTCTTCCAACGGCCGGCAGGTGCCATGGGAACTCTGGGAGCGAAAAATGTCATCGTTGATGGCTTACTATAGGGGTTATACATGGTCAAAACCCCCCTGGTACACTAACAGTTAAGTGGAAAATCACCATTTATAATAGGTAATTCAACTGTAAATGATCATTTTCAATAGCTACCTTAGTCATTGCCAGAGGATAACCTCACTCTTTTAGCTATCAACTCAGCAGATCCAATCAGTATAATGGGATGGGATAGGGGTATTTTTTATGGCTCATGTTGAAAAATGGGTTTAAGGCATGCTTTGGGGAGATCCTAAATTCAGTTTGAACATCAGTCGTTTTTTCTTCCCGGAGCCGCCCCACTGAAATATGCTGCAGAAGATTGGAGAGACCTTCAGCACCAAACATCTGGCTTCCCAAATTTCGTTTTTCAGCCAACAAATTGGAATAACATGGAACAACCCAACAAAAATCTCAAACAAATCCAGCCATTTTTCCAATTCCCCATTTTTTCTTCCCATTTTCCTGGCATTTTTCGCAATTGTTTAGGTCAGGAGTGTTGGGTCCACGGCTTCACCTTTGCAGCCTGTTGCGACCTGACGAAGCCGAGTTCACCAAGACATTGGGAGTTTTCACAGCAACATGATTTTTTTTGGGAAGTCAACTTCAAGCAAAGGCCAAGAACTTTTTGGAGAGGTCACCAACAGTGGCATCTGGATTTTGTGGCTGGGAATATCTGGCTCTGGTTTTGTTTTCGAATCACCCTGGCATACCGGTCCATCAGGATGGCAGTTATGGATGTTCACCCCCAAATTTGGTATTTCATAGGGGTATTGAACAGGGCCAAAAAAAATGAACATAGCGAACTCAAGTGAACTCGTTAGGCCACATTGATCAATGATGATCCATGCATATGAGATGTGAAATAAATCCACGAACATTACCAATCCCGAGTCCACTCGCTAGCATATGTAACATGGAAACAGACAAACACAATATATGATATACAATATACAAACAACAAATAGCAAACTATATATTAATGATCCAGCAGAAAAAACTATGGCATTCTCATACATGATCTTTTTTGTATGACAGTATGATATCAAAAATGACACAGTCGATTAAGGCCTGGCTGGGATCAACAGCTGCTGGGACGAAATCTTCACCCACGCAGCCTGCTGTGATGGTCGGCCGCAGCTGCCACAGGTGGAAGATGGTGGTTCCGCGCCCTGGGAATGGGAATTTCTATGGGCATTTCACGGGAAAAATGGAGATTTCATGGGATTTCATGGGAAATCTATGGGATTTTATAGTGATTCAATGGGATATTAATGGGATTTCATGGGATTTCATGGGATTTCATGGGATATTAATGGGATTTCATGGGATGTCATGGGATTTCATGGAGATTTTAGGGGATTTACTGGAGACTTCATGGGATCTTAATGGGTGGAGATTTCATGGGATTTACTGGTGATTTAGCCATGAAATGGAGATTTCTGATGGAGTTTTCATGGCAAAAAAATCCGGCATGGCAGGCATGGCACATCTTTTTTTTTTCCCCTTGAGAGATGGTGATTGGAACATTAGGGTAACTGGTTGGTGGTGGTGACTGGAACCATGGATTAACTATGGTTTATGGTAGATATAACTATAGTTAATTAATGTGGATTATAATGGTTTATAAACCAACAAACACTGCTTGGTGGTGCCTGGAACCATGGAATGGAATTTTTAATGACTTTCCCATCATATTGGGAATGGAATAATCATCATCCCAACTGACGAACTAACTCCATGATTTTTCAGAGGGGTAGGTTGAAACCACCAACCAGCTAATAGATCTATTGTACTTGTATCTTGTATCGATCACGTATTGATATGCATTGAATCTGTCATCAATTAGCTACCATCTATCACCTGTCCATTGAATCGGGGATCTATCGGAGTATCCAGATCTCAAACAAAATATATTAATCCACCCATCCCAGGCCCAAATACTCCGTATATGGAACGTCCATCACTATGTACCATAAGAATCACACCTGTCATCCTCGCAGGCGGGTCCTATCGTGGAGGCTACGAACCCGATTGTGGCTCGGTGAAAACTTCTGACCCAAAAGGAACTTCTCAAGGGATGTTTACTAATTACCCTAAGGGTAGCTAAGATAGAGGTGAAAAACCCATGAGAGACCACAGGAAAATGATCAATGGTGGATGAAAATCCACATCGAACTGTTAATTTGCACTGGAGTAACCATCTATATATATATGGTATTATATGGTTATATGACCACTGGTACATAGATAGTGGTTATTTGGTGGATATATATATATATATGATGATTTCCACTTGCTATATAACCACCAAATGCAAATATGAACCAATGCGGACCCACAGTCGAGGCCCAGAGCACGGCAGCTCTTAGATTTTCAGCATGAAAACCAACAAGTTTTTGGAATGTAGACATCCCCCACAGAAAATGTGCAACAAACATTTTTTTTTTGGGAGATATAGCAGCCGAAAACTTGGGATTTTCTCGAAGCGCTGGTTGGTGACTTGAGCCTTTTGCCAGGTGAATTGTTTGGACTTGTCCAGCCACTTGACCCTAGCAACTTGGTTAAAAAAGTCTCCCCACTGGGCACCCAAATCTCAGCCAGTCGACCAACATCACCAATTCTGCAGCTCTTTTTGAAAATGATCCAAGTCTCTCTGTCCCAGAGGAAAAGAATAAGGACCTGGAGCAGCGTCCGCGGCAGTGTCCGCAACGCTACTTCTACCTGGCCACCATGGGCACAGCACTGCGACTTGATGAGATGAGGCTGACCTAACCAATCAAGAAGTGATGGTTTAACCAACAGAACTTGTTACTTTGTGGTAAACTCTTTGGGGTTCAAAACCTTTATTTTTGATTATTTTTTTGGGATGAACATCTATTTACCAGCTATTTTGATGTCACCAGAGTACAGGGGTTTTGACTTGCGGCCATATTGTTAGAGAGCAGGAATGGACAATTTGCTGCAAGTGATGGGGGAACGATTCGAATCAGAACATGTTGGATTATAGAGATGTAGAGATTGAATGGGCAAATCACAGTCCAAATTTAAAGGATAGTGGAGTTTGCTGTGACATTTCCCTCACAGTGAGGGGAAGCCTAAACCTATCGCATTTTCTGAGTCGTTTTTGGTTAACAACTATAGGACCTGCGTAGAAGGACTGTGTTTTGGTAAGATGACATAATGATACATAATGTGTATAATCCCACCACCCGCCCATCACCCTAATATTAAACACACCATAAATGGTCCCAATTATGTGGAAATTCTCTACTAAACCATGGTTTCCTTTAGGGGGTGTTTAATATTCGTGGGAAGGGATTATATATGTATATAAATATATAAATAAATATATATAATATATATATAATATATATAAATATATAATATATAATATATAACATATAATATATAATATATAACATATAATATATAATATATAAATTATAAGAAATATAATATATATAATATATATATAATATATATAATATATATATAATATATATATATATAATATATATATATAATATATAATATATATAATATATACAATATATAATATAAAATATAATATTATTTAATATAATACAATAGAATACAATACATGTAGTTTTCTAGATTGGTTTTCGTGAATCAGACGATGATCGAATCCGTGCCTTTCTGCCTTTCGCTCGCCCGAGGATCGGAGCGGATCGGAAGGGCTTTCCCTGGTGGTACCCGGCAGATGATGTGCAGATGGTGAAACCCTTGCGGCCTCAAAGGACGGGGTGTCGATGTCAGCATCGTTGGAAGGACCATCCCCAAACGTTGGGAGAACCATGTTTTTTTCTGTTGGATTTTGCACGGAAAGTCCCCAAATCTGGGTTTGAGAACATCATTTTCCCCATGTTCAAATTTGCCATAGCTTTGTGATTTATTTTTTGGGGTAGATCCCTCCAATGTTCAGACACAGTCCAAAATCATGTCAATTGGCTGTATCCCAGAAAATCTCCCAACTATCTCCCAACTATATCCCACACAAACATCCGTAAAATATCTACCAACTATATCCCTTATCAAATATCCCAGTTGTGATTTACTCAGGATGCACTTCGTGGGTGGCATCTGTGTGCCCTCGAGCTGCTCTGTGGAGGTCCGCCATGGCTTCAACCAGAAATTGGGCTGTGCCCACAAAAGTTGATGGTGTTTTCCACGATTTTCCCGATTAAACTATATTAAACTGCCATTGAAATGGGGTATATATTCCATTTTCAAACACACCACATATGGATATATATATAAATACAATAGCTGTTGGGTTTATAGATACTAGGTTTTCCATTGTGATGATCCTATGAATATTCTCATATATTACCATTATGTTATTATTATTATTATATTATGATACCCATTGTGTCATTATAAAAAAGCTGAAGTATGACAACACCCATTATCTCACTAGGTTATACTATGTTATACTTACTACCCTTTATGTGGTATTAATGGTAGTATAGCCCAATGATTATATATATATCCATTAATTATTAATATTAAACACTAGGCCTAATGGTAATATACATTAAATAATGATATATCCATTATTAAACACTAGGCCTAATGATATATCCATTTGTTAATATTACCAGTATATTAATATATCATATATCACTAGGATGTTACCCTAAGCCCAGGCCACAGCCTCTTATCTCGCTCCCCTGGTGGCTCCCTGGTGGCGTTCTCCGCGTGCCAAAGCGCAGCCCTTGAACGCAGCTTGGCTGTTCCAAGGGTATCTAATTAGTGGTGATTAATAGTGGTTGATAGTGGTTAATAATGGTTAATAGTGCTGATTAGTGGTGATTAGTGGTGATTAGTGAAGTTGTATCCCATGATTCCCATGATTATTGGCAATCACCACTTTCTTCTGATTATATGTATATATATATATACACATTTTTCCATTGATCATCAGTGAAATCAGCATTTTTCAAAATTTCCTGATCACCAGGATTTCCAATTTCCAATTTTGCTCAGTGACATCACCATGAAATTCGCCATGTTGCCATTTCTCCATTGGGATTGGTCTAAGGGAAAATCGATGGTTTCCGGTGAAGATTTTCCCAAAACCAATCCATTTTTCATTAACATGGTTCCACTATTAACCACTATTATATAACCACTATCAGTGGCATCAGTGGTGACAATAGTGCCATGGTTAATTTTTCATGGACATCGTGACGTGGTTTTCACAAAACTTCCAAGACAAAAATTGACCGTCAGGCAAGCCACGTGACGCTGCCGCCTCCCCTAGCGGTGCGGCACAAGGCCTTTGGGGACCCCAAGGCCAAGATCAACCTGACCTTTACAGTGCCTGGAAAGATGTGGGATTTCCCCCATGGGAAACCGATGGGTTTTGTTGGGAAAATCATCTACAAATGGTGGGGTTTTCATCAACAAACCATGGGGATTCATTGGGGTTTCCAGAAATGGGGGTACCCCTTTATCGCTGGATGGTTTATAAGGGAACATCCTATTAAAATGGATGATGACTGGGGTACCCCCATTTATGGAAATCACCATATGAGTCGATACGAGATGAACACCTGGGTTTTGAGATGATCTAACGCAGTTGGGGATCCATGTACGAAACCAGTACGAAGAGTTTAATGGGGAGATGATTGGAATACCCTCTGGTAAACATACAAACAACTATGGAAAATCACCATCTTTAACAGGTAAATGAACTATTTCTATGGGCCATGTTTACTTTTTCTATGTTAGTCATTACCAGAGGGAAGTTTATGCAATGTAACCAAGAACATGATCTGAACATGTGGACCTGAAAATGGGGGATAGGTCTCCATATCTGCAGAGCATCAAATGATGGAAGCCATGGCGTCACAAAAAACACACCATATCGGCAGATCTCAAGCGACATTGGTTGGATGGTGGTTGCAGTGGTTAAGGTGGAAATCCATGTGTATATATATATGCATAGGAATTATATACTGGTTGGTGGTTGGTGGTTTGGAACATGAATTTTATTTTCCATTTCATATATGGGTTGTCATCCTTCCCATTGACTTTCATATTTTTCAAGATGGTTATTGCACCACCAACCAGATCAAACATGTTGGAGACATCTGGTGGTTGCAGTGGTTACCGTACTTTTCCCTGAGCAGGCGATGTTTACCTATGTGTTTCCAAGATCAAGCTCTGTTGGAAGAGGCAATCCACTCTCAATGGATTGGTTTAAGGGAAAATTTACAGGAAAGCCCCATATTTTAATGGGAAAATCTATGGTTTCCTGTAAAATTTCCCTTAAACCAATCCAATCACACTCAAATTTCTGCGGGTCAGCTGCCGTCTGTTGAGGCTTGGACCGCGCTGCGCCCAGCGAATGGGGAAGCACTGGCGGACTTGGATCGCTGCTGGGTGCAACGGATGGCAAGTTTCACTCCGTGGAGCGTGTGAAGATCGGACTTTAGAATATGGACATATTGATGATAGCTATAGACATTTGTAGTTTATGTATATATATATATATGTATGTATACTACATAGAATGGCTGGTTCATCCCGTCCATTCAAGACCAAAGACTATATAAAGCGGTGTTACGATGTCATGAAACCACGTTGAAAAAACAATCGCTGGTCACTGTTTGATGCCAGAATGTTCTATCACCAAGATGTAAATGACATTAGATCAAAGTGTATATGCGTGTATGCCTGTAGAGTCTGTAGATATGCGTCCAAAAAAAAGGTATGCAGTTGATTGTAGTCCTGTCTTGTTGATGGAGTTCTTTCAGCGCCAGCTGAGGTTGGGATTTTGCCATGATCCTGTCGCTTGCTGGCCAGTCGGTGTGTTCCATTTTAGTCCCTTTTAAACAAGTGGCTAAAAGTCAATGTGGTAAACCGGAAAAGCCAATGATACACCATCCCCAATAGAGGTTTATGTTTGTTTTTTTTGTATATCATATCCCTAGCGTTTAGGGATGATGTGGCTAGTATGACCCTCAGTCATGGTTGGTTTTTATGGGATGGTAAACATGGCATTGGCTAAGGGTACCCCAGATATCATCCACTGGTGAATCATCCGTTCTGTATCAACAAAAACATTGCAGTTATATACATCCATAATATAAATCATGATGATGATGATGATGATGATGATGATGACTATATACTATTATTATTATTATCATTATTATTATTACTGTATTCTTATTATTGCTACTATTATTCTCATTTTTATTATTAATTAGATTTAATTACTATTATATATGATTAACAGCTACACCATTCTATCCATTGGTGCATCCTTTCCACCTTTGAGGTATCGCTCCGGCGCCAGCTGGTCCAAGGGGAAGGCCATCCTAATTTGGACGGCCCTTGGCGCCCTGTTGATCTTTGGTGCAGTGCCCAGGCATCAGGATGGACCGGGACGGCAACCATGGGGATGATATGGGAGGGAACTTTCTCATTTTTATGGGGAAAAATGGTGAAATTTCACTGTTGTTAGTTTTGACAGACATATTTTCACCAACTGAAGAAGTGACTGTGGGCATAAGGCCACAAGCATATAGGGGCCCCATATCCCAACTTATGAAGGTTATAACGATGGTTAAACAATTCTCCTCCGTCAGTATGAAACAATGGTATAACACCACACGTTTTCTTGATATTGTGTTTCCAATTGCAGTAAATCGCGAACTATGGTTTCGTCTTACCCCGAAATGAAAATAAGTAACCAGCTTAGGGCGCGCTGCTGCGGACGTGTGGCTCAATATCAGCTGCATATCGCTTCCAACAAAAACATCCCGCCGGGTGCGGAATCGCGCGTGTAGGCGCATCAACATGCTGAAAGAAATGACAACCCTTTCAGTGTTTCGTGGCCTTCTGATCAGGAAAAAATGTTCCCAAAAAAGGTCATTTTTCTGTGATTTTGCAACCCTTACAGCACAAATTTCAGACCTTTTTTGCCTTGCCACTTTCATTGATCATTGTGCATGTAGACCTCTGCAAACGAACGTTAACATCCCCACCCCACCCCACCCCACCCCACCCCATCCCACCCCATGATCAGCGTAGTCAGCCACTTTCGCTTCACCCGACGTTCACATCTCCACCCCACACATGCTCAGCGTAGCTGCGTGGCGTGTTTCAACTGCAAACGAACGTTAACAGGCCCACCCCACCCCACCCCATGATCAGCGTAGCAGCAGAGGCGTCTTCGACTTCAACCGAACGTTCACATCTCCACCCCAACACATGCTCAGCGTAGCATGCGTGGCGTGTTCAACTGCAAACGAACGTTAACATCCCCACCCCACCCCACCCCACCCCATGATCAGCGTAGCAGCAGAGGCGTGTTCGACTTCAACCGAACGTTCACATCTCCACCCCAACACATGCTCAGCGTAGCATGCGTGGCGTGTTCAACTGCAAACGAACGTTAACATGCCCACCCCACCCCACCCCATGATCAGCGTAGCAGCAGAGGCGTGTTTCGACTTCAACCGAACGTTCACATCTCCACCCCAACACATGCTCAGCGTAGCATGCGTGGCGTGTTCAACTGCAAAAGAACGTTAACATCCCCACCCCACCCCACCCCATGATCAGCGTAGCAGCAGAGGCGTCTTCGACTTCAACCGAACGTTCACATCTCCACCCCAACACATGCTCAGCGTAGCATGCGTGGCGTGTTCAACTGCAAACGAACGTTAACATCCCCACCCCACCCCACCCCACCCCATGATCAGCGTAGCAGCAGAGGCGTCTTCGACTTCAACCGAATGTTCACATCTCCACCCCAACACATGCTCAGCGTAGCATGCGTGGCGTGTTCAACTGCAAACGAACGTTAACATCCCCACCCCACCCCACCCCATGTTGAAAATGTGTGTAACTACACGTACGGTTTGGCACCCGTTAGCAAAAACATGGTTAGCTCATTAAAAAAAACACAATTGCACCCCCCAGCAGGCTACTGACTTTGAACCAATCTTTGTAGGACATCATTCAGGACATCTATGATTAAAGGAGCAGGTTGATTGGATTGAAGCAAAGTGTTCAGTGGGATAAACTTTGAAGATTAATCTTAAGGTTATTTGTGGGCTCCAATCTATATAGTGGTTGCTTTGCAAAAAATCTATCTATTTCTTATTGTCCATCCTATTTGATATGGAGGTTTCCTGAAATGGGGGTCCCCCCAGTCATCATCCATTTATAGATGGGATTTTCCATTTATAAACCATCCACTGGTTGGTGGTTTGGAACATTTTTTATTTTTCCATATATTGGGGATCATAATCCCAACTGACTTTCATATTTTTCAGAGGGGTTGAAACCACCAACCAGTCCTTTTTTTGGGGTACCTCCATTTATGGACCCCCCCAGATGATCGCTTGATTCACCGTTCACCTCACTGCGACAGTGGCGTTGATCTCGAGAACTTCCTATCACCCTCGTTCCACTTGAAACTTGGTCGCGTTGAGCGCGGCTGCAGGTTGAAGCGTTGACCCCCGGAATTCTGTGATATGGCTATGGATCAATACCTATACATACCATTTTTAGGGGGATGAACATCCATTTACCAGCTATTTTGATGTTCACCAGGGGTACAAGGTTTTGACACATCCCCATATGGCTTGTCATTCAAATGGTGACCCCCACTAAACAAGCCCTGGGTAAAAAAAACATCCCCGGTTAAGACTGGAAGGAAACGTTGGGTGTTTAAAGAAAATGGATAAGAACCAAATGGAGCTCCAAAGCTGTCCTCATTGCATCCACGCCGATACCAGAAGTGCCTGGAGACAAAGAACAAAGACGGCAACAAGATGCAACAAGTATCGTTGAAAAGTTTGCCATGCTTCTACGAATTCGCAGTGAGTTCAACCCCTCTGGTGAAGACCCATGAAGACCCCAGAAAACCAGGTTGAACGAATCTGGCAGATTTCGTTGTACCACAAATTTGGAGAATGATGTTTTGATCAAAGCTGCAGCATGTCATAATTTGTGCAGTGTTTTGCAAGGGGCTAGCACCTTGCGGGCTACTGCTTGTGGGCTTGTGGTCAACCTGCTGTGAGAATATGTGAACATCAGACTCATTAGACGCTGATTATAAAATTATATAATCCGAAGAATTGCCAATCTCTGTGGTTGCCTGGGGCGGCAAAGACTTGACTAAGTATAACCTGAGCTGCTTCCCGCCACAAACCCAATTGGTTAGCACCCCAGAACTTGGTGGTAAATGCTGGTAAATGTACATCAAATATACCTTCCAGTAATTTAACAGTTTGCGAACTGGTATAGATGGCCCATAGAAATTGAGGATAAAAATGATGATTATTAACGATTTACCTATGAAAAACGGTGATTATCCATAGCAAACTGGCAATTTTCACTGGAGGGTAGCCTTGCTGCAGCCGAGGCTCAGACTTGGACTACCTAGAGGTCCTAAGCAACTTGGCGATGGGACAAAATCGGATATATAGTCGGGATATCAATGGCTATCTCTCTCTCTCTCTATATATATATATACCCATGTATACTGTATGTACTACACATACATTTTGTTTTCCAACTTGATATGATATTTGGGTGTGTCTGAAAATGAGAATCTACCTCAGTTTATACGCAATTTTCAGGCAATTTCAATGGAGAAGCTTATTAATTAACCAAGGTTGGGGTGTTCGAAGCAGCCATTGACCAGAGCAGGATATTTTGACTCAGAAAATTCAGACATCGGCCAGGAAATCGGCCATGACCTCATCATAAATCCAAGGGTTTCCAGAGAAATTCCCTAAAATCCCATAGCTGGTTGGTTTCAGATCAATGGCACCCTGAATTTTCAGGGTGATGTCGTCACCCAGCATTTGCAAGGCACCTGGAACTCTTTCGATTAGTGCTGACCGTGCTGGTGCCTCGCCGAAATGGATATGGATTGAAAATCTCGGGGAAGACCCCCCAAATCCCAGTTGATCCTGGTTTCTCATGATTTTCCCTTCCGCAGATGGCATCTTTTTTGGGTGAAGTCCACCATTTTCAGATCTGATTGGAGGATCACCCCAGCCAGCACAACACGAGGGTTGCTTTTTGGCTTTGTCCGAACATTGGCATTATCCCCTCCATTTTTTGGCTGAGTCAGGGTATTCTACCCTGAATACCCTGTTTTTTTTTTGTTGCCCAATTTTTGTCGTGGTCACAGAGGGGAAATCCCTCACCAGGTGCTGGTGATCCACGTCATGGATCATGGTCCTTGGACCCCAGTGCAGCAGCATAGCGGCGCGGCGTATCTCATGTTACTGCGAAGCACCTTGGCCCGGCATGTGGGAGATGTAGAGAGAGCAGGGAGGAAAAAATGATGGGGATGGGTTAAAATACCTGGGATTCCACACTATTCCACACTTTGGAAACATGAACATCCATTTACCAGCTGTTTCCATGGGGATGGTATTTTCGGGATGATATCAGATCATTTGATGATAAGAACCTTCGGATAATATTAGCAGATATTGGCAGGGTAGGATGCAATCTTCCACAACGTTGGGATATGCTGTAGCCACCCAGGACTCCATAGTCTTGACGCGGGACCGCCACTGATTTCTGATAGGTCTGATAGGTCCGTGAAATTGGATGATTTACCTCTTCAACATGGATATTTCCATGCATTTTCCATCCAGTATCCAGGAAGCCGCAGCTCGAATTTCAGGCTTTTCGCCCAACATTTCGGGGGTCCTCCTCCCCGAAAAATGGTCTGGGGCAGGCTGTATGAGCCGTGTGAACATTGGCTTCGTGGTGCTTCTGGTTCATCTCAGCATCAGTCGGAGGTCGCTGAAACAGGCGCGGTCAATGCCAGAGATGGGGTTAGAGAAAGCAAGAAACGTTTGCCGCTTGGAGATGGGTAGAGTTGAACATCCTCAAGCTCAACATTTGTTGAGATGATGAGTCATATGAGTTCATTCCAATTCTGATTTCTTGCCAAGTTTGGCACCCATCAAGAACGGCAGTTCTCTCATGTGAACTCCATCTCAATGGTGGGAATGACCCGTGGCAATGCGCCAGGCAATCTCCCCGTGGGGATGGATCAGGGCTATGGCTTTCCACACCCTGAAGCGTCACTCTGCAGATTCCAAGGCTATCCGATGCTATTTTTTCCGTATCCATTTCGGCATTCCGGCTAGTCCGCCAATGACCCGGTCGATGAAACATGTTGGAACTTTTTCTGCGACTTGAGAATCTGTGGTTGGATCTTTTTACCTGGGAGCCTTGTGTTCTAGTGGTTGATTCCCAATTTCCATCCCCATCGTTTTGCGTCGCGGTCTACGTGTCTGAGCTATGTCGGCACAATCTACCACATCCTCACCAACGTCATCTACGGGTCCTTAAGCAAATCATGGTGATGATTGAAGAACACATAGAAATCATATAGACATCATAAATGATACAGAACCTGCTTTACCATCACAACAACCATCACCTGAAACCCGTTTTTGCCACAGCTTTTCCGGCGAGTTGAGGTTTGTTTGTCATCGCTCCAGTGGTAAGTGCTTGGAGCCTTGTACCAGCCTCAAGAGGCTGCTGTCCAGTTTTTTTGGATGCATTGTTGTACCCTCTGGTAAACTAACATAGCTATGGACAATCACCATTTTTTATGGGTAAATCCACTATTTCGACTGGGCCATTTTCAATAGCTTTTTGTATGTTTACCAGAGGGTAATATGCCCATCGATTTTTTGGGTCATCAACTGCTCAGCGGCCAGCGATTTTTATCGCTGGGATGGTTGTATAGTAACACCCAAAAGATAGAAACGAAACACATTCCATTATAGTGGTAAAATAGTGGTAAAATACATTTCTATTTTTTTTGAGGGATTACTCCCAGACATCCTCAAGACCTATAAGGCCCAGTGGGCCTTGATGGGCCTTGGCCGTGCTCAGGTCTTTGTACAGGCACCATTTGATGATGTGCCGATGAACAACATCCTGAAGTCCAATCCGTTCGGTCTTTAGGGTCCGGGAATGAACCGTGGCAAGAGGTGGCTAGAAAATCCGAAGATCCCCAATGAAAATGGGTTTGATCACTAATGGAAAGTTCAAATCTCAAGTCCCTACCAGGGTCACCGACGGATTTTCCCATGATGGCCCTTACTTGGGGCTGTGGAGGTATAAATGGGTACATCACCATGATTATAGGGCTTATATCAGTTATATCTTCAGTTATTTCCCAAGTCATGGAGGTTATTACCGTCATAAACATTAGATAACCTCAACTGCCGAAGTAAATGGTCAATTGGTTTTCTCCAGGATTCTAAAGATTTGGTTGGTCCACACCTTAGACTCCCTGCCTGAGTTTCCACCAGCTGGTTGTGATGAACACTTCATCTCCCACATTCGTTCGGGAGAATCATGATAGGTTTGACTTACGCTCCAGTTTCGCATTGAATCTCGATGTGTAACCACCATTTGTAGATCAAATTCCTAGGGAAACAAAAAAAAGGTTTTTTCACATCTATGGAGTGCACCCCCTTTTTAAGAAGTGAATACGCACAACACTAGGAAGCACAATGCTTCTGGTTTGCTTGAGTTACCTTTGGCATGTTGCATTTGGCACATGGCATTTGGCACCTTTTTTTTGGGATTCAATTCTGACAAATTGCTCATTGGCTATGGATCATTTTACTCTGGTGAACATCACAATGCGTGCAACCGATGTACATGCTATGACCAAACAGAGCTGTTTTTCCCAATTTATTTCCCAAAAAGATATGTTTTTTCTCTCATGGTATGACCATTCCTTGAAACATGGTAATTCAATGGTCATTGATTTTAGGCTTCCACAGATTGATCCACATCATTCCACATCCCAGGTCTGTTTTTTCCCGTTTTTTTTGCCTCGTTCGCGCCGAGGCTTTACCTGTGGTATGGGGAACGAAGAGACCAGTGTGTTGGGAGCCAAGATGATCTGCAGATGATTTGCACATGATGTTGGTGATGTTGGTGATGTGTTTTTTTGCTGCTTGCTTTGATGATGATGATGATGATGATGATGATGATGATGATGAACATGGACATGGACCTGAAAAGTGCTGAGAACGAAGACAATGATGATGGCGAATGTGATGGTGATGAGATGTGATGAGCATGGGATGCATTTGATTCTCCGGGCATTTCCCCAACAGATCCAGACGCTGTTGGGCACCTGTGCTCAAGGAGAATCCCTTTCAACTGGTCTGCAGCGTGTTATTCATCCATGCACCTGTGATGGGCATGTCGGGCCACTCAGGTGGTCCACGGAATGGATTTTGGAAGAAAGCCGCGCCATAGTTTTTGCCATGTAAATAGTGTAAACATCCAAGTCTGATGTTTGTTGTTGATTCCAAATTCCAAGATTCACTGTTTCATGTTGTTTAAACTCGAAACCGATTTTTGCAGGATCGAATTTTACAGGATTGAAGAACGCATGTGGACTCCAAAACATGGTTTGGTGGTGGCCAAGACCTCCGTGAGGCGTTCGCCCTGCCACAACACGGACATTTTTGAGAGTTGAGTGCTCAGACCATGGAAAATTCATCTAGAAATGGATGACTTGGATTGATTTGGGGGTACCCACATGACTTAGGACACCTCTATAAACCGAACGGGTGAATGATGAATGAAACATATTGAACAATGGTGGATCTTCACCGTTACCATGGGGACCCAAGCAATTTTGATAAATCCGCCCGATTTTTTGATGATGAATGTATAAGTATGGTATAGTATACTAAACTTGGCTACTAAACTTGGATAGCATTAGTATAGTATAGTATTTTTGATGATTAGTATAAGTATTTTTTGATGATGAATGCATAAGTATTTCCATTCAATTGGCTATTGTTTTAGACATCCACCATGCCATAGTCACCATAGTCACCATCCCCAAGCTTTTCACTACGGTTTTTCTGCTAGGCTATTTGTCACCAATAGTCCCAAGGTCCCAAATGGCGAGGGTTGATGATCCGGTTGATGGTTTCTACTGCAGGATACCTTCTGGTAATTCTCCCAGGACAAGGGATTAAATTTTAACGGGGCAGAATTTGCCGCATGAGAGGTTGATTGTTTTGTTGAGAAGTTACTACTGTATGTATGGGAGTTACTACGAGACGGATGATTCAAATTCAACACCAAGCAACATAACCGATATGAGGTTTCTGGACGTAGGCGTTTCACTTTTGGACCAAGACAAACATAGAAAACATTCAATTTCAGTCCAAGAAGAGTCTTGGCAGATCTATTCGGCCATCCAAATTTTCGAGATTCGAAGTATCCACGGTTCAAGTTACATCAGCTACCCATCACTACAGGTCTTGCTTTGGACTTGGATGGTCAACCGGCCATTTTATGGGTCAACTTACCTTCATTTTGTAAGGACCATGAGGTTCCAGTGAAAAACAGCGGGGCTTCCATGATTGTAGGCTTCCCTTGGGATTTGGATGGATTTGGATGGATTTGGAGGCTACTTGAGAGTCTTTGTGGCTCATTAGCTTGCTAAATAGTTGAAACACAGGCTCCAGATGTGGAGCGAGGCCAACATTTGTAACGTGCTTTCAACCCCTGTTCAGTCCTAGAAATGTCAAAACGATGAATCATTCGCTCTTCAGTGACCCCTCCTTTTTCATGAGATAAACCAGACACTTGAGAAACCCTCACTCATTAAACAAAAACAAAGGACACCAACCAGACTCAGAACCAGCTGCTTTGACCCAAAAACCTTGTCATTGCATAGACAGCCACGGGTGCCGATGTGGCCGGTATGGCTGTTGGTGACCCCGGCTATGGCGACTGGTTGGGACTATGGCTGGCAGCCTAGGGACTGCTGGGGTGGAAATGGTGCTCCGTCTATGGAACCCCCCCAAGAAGGAAACCAGGTTCAATTTGTCACTACTTTAGAAGGATATCTTAGCGTTCTGCATCCTTTTTTTGGGGGTACTTTATATATATATATATAATATATATAGTCGCGAGAGGATAGAACGTCATGTAAGCAGCTAAGTACGTCATGTTGTTTGGAGGGTGCCATGTTTTTTGAATCCCTTGAATGTCCATGACTTCAAGGCACCCTGTGCAAGAACACCTCTGCCGGAACATCTCCCCAATGAGCTCGATGATTTTCCCAGAAAGTGGGATTTCCAAGCCAGCTATGACATCGGATGGGACTTCCATTCATCACCATTAGTTCATCATTATTAGCCACTATAAAAAAATGTTAACCATACATTAACCATGAGAAATACTGTATCCCAGTGAAGTCTCTGTTCTTTATTTCATCATGGCAGGAACCCGCAGAGAGTAGCTCTTCGGAGCTTCAGAAAAAACTGGATCAGGCCTGCCGGAGGTGTCATGATGTGTCTGAAATGACGCGGGATCTAGGTATATGTATATATACACTGTAATAATATATAATATATAATATATAATATATAATATAGAATATATAATATAGCATATATAATATATAATATATAATATATAATTTATAATATATAATATATAATATATATAATATATAATACATAATATATAATATATAATATATAATATATAATATAATATATATATAATTAATAGACATTGATAAACCAAAAATGGCGATGTTTTATGGGATGTGTATAGCCGACTTGAGGTGATATTTTTTGGTGTGTCTGAAAAGGGGGGATTTACCAGACAAATATATAAACATTGCAATTGTAAGAGGAACACATCTACGGGCATTTCCTAGAATAGGGGTACCCCAAATCATCCAAGTCATTAGATTTTAGTATTGAAACCCATGGTTTTGAGGTACTCGCATTTTGGGAAACATCCATATGATAAACCACGGGCTTGAGGGGTTTCCCCCTAAACTGTCAGACACACCCATATATGCATAAACTACCCTCTGGTAAACTAACATAGCTATGGAAAATAACCCATTTATAGATGGTTTAACTATTAAACATGGTGATTTTCTATAGCAATGTTAGTTTACCAGAGGGTATAAGACATGGGTGAATAGAAACTCCTAACATCAAATGGAATGGGCATCTCGCATATAACTTGAAACACTGATTATTTCAACCAGTTGCCGAAGCTGCTCTGTGGGGGGAGGTTGAAGGGAAGAAAGGTATGTGATTTCCTTAGTCATCTCGGATCTGTCAGAGTTTCAGGCCCTTTTTTCCCCAAAGATATTTCTCATAGAAGCTACATGCAGTGGTGAAGGGCGCGCTGAGCTGAGCTATGGTTTTTCGCGTTCCATATTCCCCGTTCGAAAATGGGGAGCCAAGAACTAGGGAGTTACTAAGGGTGGCCAGTTCTTATTGGATAATGTGCTGCAGTATGTGCAGCAAAGAAGTACAGTTGAGCATTCTGCCTAGTTTTGTTGTTGTTTTTTTGTCTATATCAGATTCCATTTCCCCAACAAATCCGACTAAAGGGTTAGAACCCATCAATTGGCAGGTGATTTTTCCATGTAATACATCATACTAATTGATATGGGAAAATGATACAGTATTAATTTTCCATGTAATACATCATACTAATTGTAGAATTGGTTAGAACCCATACTAAAGTTAGTGATCTGTTCCAATTCTATCCCCAATTTGGTTGGACATTCCCCCCTCAACGCTCCCAATCCACCAGGCGCGCCATGATCTCAGCTCCTGTCGCGCGGAGTGTGACTGCGGCGATTGTCGCGTGCCGCAGCTGTCGGAACACAGGTGGGGCCGGGCCCTTCGGTGATTCCACAGTTGGCTATGGAACACTATGGAACATGTTTTTTTTTTTTAAATATGATTTCAATGGTCTATTTTCCATGGATTTATATGATTTAGCCATGATTTAGCCATGGTGATTGATAGGGTATATCTCAGCGTTTTTTTTTTGGGATGAGAATTTTGCTTGATATTTCAAGCATGATGGGATTCAAATCGAGCACAATTGGATGAAACCAAGCCTACTTGCAGTCCCATTTGAAAGGCCCCCAGCCCTTCACAACCCCTAGAACACCAATAACCCCAAAAATCCCAACGCTCCATTTTACGGCTTCATTGTGGTTTATCTCTATGATGGGTAAAATGAGCAGGGTCAGTTGGGATATGGCTGTGTCTGAAAATCGGGTACCTGGGGTAGATGATAACCCGGTCGATGGAATGGGGTCTGCTCCTAAACTTTCAGTCAAATCCAAATATTTTGGTTGCTTTAACATCCTTTTACTACCATATATTGGGTCTAAAAACAATTCATAAGTAGCCCAAAATTCAGCCATCACTTACCATTTATGATTAGGATACATCATGATCCATCCCAAAAATGACCTCGCCGTCGCCAACTCTGATACTGGTTGAAAAAAAGCCCGATGGCTATTGGGTTCCCAGGCAGTGGAAGTGGATCCAGGACGTCGCAACCCTGGTGGCGCGGCACAAAAATGTGCTGTTGACGGCGGCCGCGGTGACTGCGGTGGCCATTGCGTTGGCGGCGATGCCCGGAGCTCCAACAGGTTGTGGTGGGATATTTTTTTGGGGAAATGTTTGGGGGATTTCTTCAAGACGGGGTGGACCATGATGATCATTGGCTTACTTTTGGGAACTGGAGAAGATGGTTGAGGTTGCAATCTAAATCAACGAGAATGGGGTATGTTGAGGCTATACCTTGGTGAAATGGTTACAAGAGGATAGGCAACTGACCCGAAAACGTGTAGAGTTTGCCACCGCGGTACCGCCAACATAAAGAACTACTGTATGGTGGAACTGGCTGGTTGATGGTGGATGCATTGGTTCATTTTCAGCCGTGTTGATGGAGGAAAACCATCTCCAGGGCAGGTAGCTGGTCCAGAGAAGTTGTGACATGTTGTGACGGAATGGCCCAGCTCTGTTTGATCCTTGAGAGCAGGTTTTGTTTTTTTTGCTTTTGCGCTGCATTAACGGCCGCATGCTCCATATTGAGCAGTGATGGCTATCCAGCAGTGCCACACTTTTCTCGAGCTCGGAATGAAGCGCCTTGTGCTGTGCTGTGCATGTTTGGCGTCATCCGCCAGGGCGACAGTGGATGACTCCAGGACTCCAGGAAAACTGAAAATCTCTGGTTCTACCTGGTAATCTAACCGTTAAGTGGAAAATCACCAGTAGGTCATTTTCCATACGACTAATTTACTGGGTACCCCTGTTGGACTTTGGGCCAGGAAGTTCTCCTTGGACCACCACGAGGGATTGCCCGAAATTTCACCAACCGGCATTGGATTTGGTCTTTGGCTTTGGAAGTGACAGTTTTTGGGTGTTGAATGATGGCTGATATTGGCCCAGTCTGGTGAAGCAAATAGTCCAATAGTCCAGCAATACCGCAACTTCCTAAATGGCTATGGATCAATACCCATTAATACCATTTTTAGGGGAATGAACATCCATTTACCAGCTATTTTGATGTTCACCAGGGGTACAAGGTTTTGACACACTGCCAAATGTTTTTTTTTTCATAGAATTGGATGATGGGAAAATTTACAGGAAAGCCCTATATTTGATGGTAAAAACCATGGTTTCCTGTAAATTTTCCCTTAAACCAATCCATTGATTTTTAGTTCACATCTTTTTGGGTTCGATGTTCCATGTTCAAGTTTGGAGAATGCGGCATGCTCCTGAGGCTGAGGCTCCTTTCCAGGAAGACACGCAGAGGACTCCGAAGTCCGAAACAGCCACCATCGGATGGCCTGGGATGGGTGAAAAATCCAACATCAAGAGCTCAATTTTCAGAGCACCATTTCAAAGTCATTAGACATTCAATGAATTTTATGGAATTTGGGAGAATTCGGATGGGTTTAGCATGGTTTAGCAGTTTTTGGGGCCTTTTTCTAAGTCTTGGTCAGCTTCTGGATGCTTGGGGGGCACCGCAGAGCTGCTTTTATAGGAGGTCTCCAGCATTTGCGCCTGCCTTTGACGGAGGCCGTGGATGAGATTTCAGGTCGATGTCTTTCTGGGGTAAGTTTCATAATGATGATTTTGTTGGTATCTCATTCATATCCTGGGGTGTTATATATACAATATATATATATATACAATATATATATAATATAATATATATATATATAATATATAATATATAATATATATAATATATAATATAATATATATATATAATATAATATATATATAATATATATAATATGTATATATATAATATAATATATTATATATATGTAATATTATATATATACACGTAATTGTATATGTTATATATATATGGTTTCAAAACACCCCAAGTCATCCCTCGATTTTATTTCCCGGATTTGGGCCAAAAAATTGCAGGAAACCCGGCTGCCAGCCGTTTTTTTGCGCAAAAAATCCGGTGGTTTCCTGTGGATCCCCAGGTACCCCCAACAATAGAGGTTTAGCAAACTCCTGATCAAGAATGCTAGGGATTGACTTCCCAATTGAACATAGGGGGAGTCATCCCCGAATTTATGGCCATGTTAAGATGGAAACATGGTGAACTATGATGAACTATGGCTATTTTGATGGCGAAAACGATGATGAAGCAGCATCATGGCATACGGGAAAGTATGGATAGTCCATCTTTTCCATTCCATTCAACTATGGAAATCCATGAACGTATGGAAAGAAACATGAAACTATATGGAAAAATCTTCAAACTATAGGGAAAACCCATGAACTACGGAAACATCTATAAAAATATGGAAAAATCGATGAAACTATGGAAACACCCATGACACTTTGGTGAGACTTCTTTGTACGTCGGATGTTTGAGCGGTGATGTCCATTTGCACCATTACGTATGTCGGATGGCCAGCTCTGAGCAAACTGATCTTTCGAGCGGCCATTCGAATTTTGTCCCTGTCGTGCACAGTCTCCTTTTCCTGAACGTAGTTCAAGCTCTTGTGCAGTTGTACAGATAGAGCCTCTACAATTAGACTTCCCATTTTTTGTACAGGTTCTTCCCCCACAGATGTTTTATAGCAAGTTGAAACTCCAACATGAGGACCCTTGTGTTCGCTTGGCTCCTTCTCCATGTCCACAGTGGAGGTTGTATCGAAGCTTTTGGATTTTGTGTTGTCGGTGAGTTTCCTATACTCCTGATCTTCCTGGATCAGAGGGTAAACAGTCACATAACTATAACGAACTGGAAAATCACCGTTTTTCATGGGAAAATCCACTATTTCTATGGCCATTTTCAATAGCAAACTGTTTGTTTACCAGAGGGTATATCAGGATGTCTTTCTCGGGGTTATGTGATCTGATTGCGACACTTGAGTCTCTCTCGTGACCAGAACTATGGAAAAAACCATCAAGCCATAGGGAAAACCCATGACACTATGGAAAAATCGATGAAATCATATGGCACTGTGACAAAACCAATAGTACCCCTGGTGAACCCCAAAATAGCTGGTAAATGGATGTTCATCCCACTAAAAATGGCGTTAATAGGTATTGACCCATAGCCATATGAAATCCATGAAGCTATAGGGAAATGCATTAAACATCCATTATCTTTAGGCCTGCATGCAGCGCGTCGTCGAGGCTGGCGGAAATCGGCGTTGGTGGCGCCTCCCGGGCGTGCCGGGCTGGTGCCGGCTACCAAGGCTCCAACTGCGATGGAGGCATGGGATGGGGGAATGATGATGCTGGTGGTTTCAAATATGGTTTGTGCAATATATATATATAATATAATATATAATATATTATATATATTATATTATATCAATAAATACATATATATATATATGCACATATGCATATGTAATATGTATACATATGCATGACATATGTATATGCACCGTACGGAATCGTACGTATATCCACGAAGTTCCATGATTTCTCAATTATTTTCACTGGTTCGTCAGGTGAGACCCACCATCGTCCCAGGCTGCCACGCTGCCCGCAGCTGACGGCTCTGATGGTCGCCCTTTGGTCGCTGCCAGCGCAGCTGTGGGGCAAGCTGAAGGGCCTTGGGAGGCCCCAAACCACACGGATTCACCAACAAAAATTAGTTTACAGTAGATCTTGCAAGCCTCCAGGTTGCGGGCAGCCTACCGTTTTTGACCCATAGCTACCATGGCTACCAATCATTGGGATGGTCCCTCAACCCCCTCAACCCGGCTGAACCGTGGATCGGAGGCTCTGTTTTTGCTGTGCTGAGTTGGATGCCAGTGGGTTGGGGGTCCTGGTGGCCTGGTGGGGGGGAACCCTGAGTCGAAGGGATGAAGAGAATTTTTTAAAAGTTGAGATGGCATGATATTCAGGCTCTTTAAAGGGCTTTGCTCCGACTACTCAAC